TATTAAAAGAATGCTGAGAATTTTTCCTTGTTTGTTGATTTGAATAAATGAAATATTTGAAAATAAATTAAATTTTGTTTTATTTTATTTTATATGACAGTTAAAAACAATAGATAGGGGAGGGTGGTCCCATACCGACCCCTCGTACCATACCGACCCCCTTATGTTTCTTGAAAATGGTACCACTAAAAAAATCGTCAGTACCATCAGTCGAACACTTTCACAACACCAACAACTGGGCCACAGGTTTTATCAATGCGTTTGATTTCATTTTGAAGATTCAAGCAATATTAGATTTTAGCATTGTTTAAATTAATTTTTGACCTATACGGAATTCGAGCTAACAGTGTTTTTTGAATACAGGAAAATTTTTACGAAATTAATTTTGATTGTATATGACCTTAACTTCAACGTACAACATTCAAATTAAATTGATTCCACTGATATAAGTGATTGGCAAAACATTTTGTGAAAATAGTGGGGGTGGTCCGAAACCGACCCCCATATTTTTACATTGTAATTGTTTATTCTCTTCTTCCTTATTGTTCACATGAAGTGAGGATAGGTTTTGCATATTTACTTTTATTTTTTAGGAATTTATAAAATATTTTACTAACAATCACAGCACTTATTACTTAACTTTAATTCTCTTTTGGTTAAATATTTTATTCATTGTCGGTTGTAAAATGTTCTTGACAAGGCGATATGAATTAAGAAAAGGTGTACTTTTTGACATCTTTAAAAGCAGTTAAGTACGAAAACGAAAAACAATTAATAACAAAATTCGTATATATTTTACTAGAAATAGGGCGAAAATTAAAACAGGCAAAACCATTGCTGCTATTATATTGGAAATTTAGACACTGTTTAACAATTTATATTTATTATCATTTTAAAAAAGGCTTTAAAATTTATTTAAATAAAGTAATAATATTAATTCAAGTTTAACTATGTCAACATAACTTAACCCATTAACGCCTGAAACCTCTAAAAATTTGTGTTTAATTAAAGATTTAATTTCATATATTGAAAATGCTCCCTGCAAGTAACTGAAGTGTTTCTTTATGTTTTCGGGGTCGCTCTACAAGATTCCGGGCTCAGATTTAAAATTTATCGAAAAAAAATTAAATATGGCGAATTTTGTGCATCAAATTGCAAAAAAAAAAAAATTTTTTTTTAAATAATTATTTCTTGCTGAAAACATTTTTTTCACACGAATTCAAGTGTCACAATTTGGCACAAACTTATTAAACTTTCAAAATATGCAATAGCGGAAATAAAAAAACAAAATGGCGGCTTCAAAATGGCGCTAATTTGAGAAAAAAATTATTCAATTCTTTTTATGGTGCACCGATATTTACCATGGCTATAAAATGTGATAGAACTTAGTGTTTATATGTTTTTGAGGTCGCTCATGACGAATATATAATCGGATTTTCAAAATTCAAAATGGCGGATCCAATATGTCCGACAAAATTTTTTAAAATTTACTCGATTGGCTTGAATTTTGTTAATCAGGGGTTTTTGAGGTCACAGATTATGAATTAGCTATCGGATTTTCAAAATTCAAAATGGTGGATCCAATATGGAGGACAAAAATTATTTTAATTTACTAGATTCGCTTGAAACTTGTTTCTCAGGGGGTTTTTAAGTCGGTGATTATGAATCTGCAATTGTATTTTCAAAATACAAAATGGCGGATCCAATATGGCGAACAAAATTTTTTAAATCAATTCTAGTCGCGTGAAATTTGAAAATGATGACCATCCAAGAGCCAGAATAGTTTGGAAATATTAATTCTTATGATAGAACAGTGTTAAAAGAATTTATCAAAGCTAAGCCAACTAGATTTGGACCAACAATTTTTTGGTTGTTTACTTCTGATAGATTTGTTTTGTATTTTGCCTTACTTTGTCTTATTCTGACTATTCTGGCTCTTGGATGGTCATCATTTTCAAATTTCACGCGACTAGAATTGATTTAAAAAATTTTGTTCGCCATATTGGATCCGCCATTTTGTATTTTGAAAATACAATTGCAGATTCATAATCACCGACTTAAAAACCCCCTGAGAAACAAGTTTCAAGCGAATCTAGTAAATTAAAATAATTTTTGTCCTCCATATTGGATCCACCATTTTGAATTTTGAAAATCCGATAGCTAATTCATAATCTGTGACCTCAAAAACCCCTGATTAACAAAATTCAAGCCAATCGAGTAAATTTTAAAAAATTTTGTCGGACATATTGGATCCGCCATTTTGAATTTTGAAAATCCGATTATATATTCGTCATGAGCGACCTCAAAAACATATAAACACTAAGTTCTATCACATTTTATAGCCATGGTAAATATCGGTGCACCATAAAAAGAATTGAATAATTTTTTTCTCAAATTAGCGCCATTTTGAAGCCGCCATTTTGTTTTTTTATTTCCGCTATTGCATATTTTGAAAGTTTAATAAGTTTGTGCCAAATTGTGACACTTGAATTCGTGTGAAAAAAATGTTTTCAGCAAGAAATAATTATTTAAAAAAAAATTTTTTTTTTTTTGCAATTTGATGCACAAAATTCGCCATATTTAATTTTTTTTCGATAAATTTTAAATCTGAGCCCGGAATCTTGTAGAGCGACCCCGAAAACATAAAGAAACACTTCAGTTACTTGCAGGGAGCATTTTCAATATATGAAATTAAATCTTTAATTAAACACAAATTTTTAGAGGTTTCAGGCGTTAATGGGTTAAAGACATAAATAATCTCAGAGTACACGGAAAAACCTTTGAGAAGTCTGCCTTCCCACTGTCACAAAATTTCGCTTCTCACTGCATGGAAAGTCTGATCGCCCGCCACTGGGTGCGTAGCATTACCGTTTTCGATAGACAAACTTCCCAAAAAGTTTAGAAAATTACAACTGGGTACGTTGGTCACCCAGTTTGGGAGTGCAGATGAACAAGTTTAGTGGCGGCGCTGACGCATAAGTTTCGGGTGAGCAGACTGCTTAAAGGTTTTTCCGTGTAAAGTTACTAATGATTCATTTATTTACCTTTTTGTTCAGAAAAAGGTCCAAAAATGTATTTAAATGAAGTCAAAATAATTTAACAGTTCATTACAGACTGTTGAATTTTATTTTAATTACTATCAGAATTTGATATCTTGATTATTCTTGAGGTTTTCCCCAAAAAAATAGGGGGTCGGTTTCGGACCACCCATTTTGAAAAAGTTAAAAATGTAAATTTTTGCTTTTTCTTTAGATCTTTTATTAATGACAATCAGAAACCTCGGCAACCGTCAGAAAACATTGAAAAATAGTTCCTTTACTCAAAAAAATTTTGACGAAGACAAAGAAACACATTTTTGGCACATTTTTAGCCTTTGCACTTTAGGGGGTCGGTATGGGACCACCCTCCCCTATTATTAAATTTGAAAGAAGTTAACAATTTTCCCGAATCAATTTACACAAATAAATTAAATATCTTAAATAAATCTCGATAATTTTGAAATTATTAATTAATTTCGAAAATATTTTTCAAATTAAGCAGGCTTCTGTATTAGGGCAGCTGTGCTGTCGATACATATGAAGCCCATGAGCTTATCAAGATCTATTTAAGATATTTAATTTATTTGTATAGATTGATTCGTGAAAATTGTTAACTTCTTTCAAATTTAATATTTAATCACCGAATGATAAATTCATTTCCTTCAACTCAATAGATATTATTGTTTTATTATTATTTTTAATTTAGTATTTAATTATTATTATATATTTTATTATTATTTATTAGGTATTTATTATCTATTAATATAAAAAGGAGAAGCTGCACGAATGAATTAGCAAATAATTGAAAATTATTCAAATGTTCCCACATGCGTGAATTCTGCCCCCTGCCTCTCCTGTTTTTGCTAGGATGTGAGGCAATTTTTTTAAAGAGAGAGATCTCACTATTACAGTGATGACTTTTTTATTTTACAAATATAATAATTAAAAAAATCATAAAAATTCAATAAACAATTTTTAATTTATCTAATTAAATAATTATAATTTTAATTCATAATTATTGTCAAATAAATTTTTATAAAAAATTTTATTATTGGCAGCTAATGATGGGTGCCAATTATTGGCAACGACGTACTCAACCCATGACTTTACCGTTAATGGGTGCCAATATTGACATGCCTGACTCATATTATTGGGCCATTAATGAATTAATTGGTTTTTTCCCATTGGGATACTATTTTTCGTCTTTCTTATATCAGGATTTTTCAGAAACAGTTCCGTAATTCTTCAGATAAGGCTTTATGAGAAAGTCACTGGGTAACTCATCAATAAGTGTTGATATACTTTGTATTATTTCCAAAATAGTTTATTACTTTTTAAAAAAGACAAGTTTGAATTAATGCTGAAATGGTCGCGATATCTTGGGTTACTGAACTAAGTTCCGTAATTTTTACGAAACATTTTCTTTCCGTGTTATAAAATTAAATTGTAAAATCGTGAAATTTCAGTCGATTTTAAAAATGATTAAAAACTGGCCAAAATCTATAAGTAAAATGATCAAAATTAATAAATCGTAAAAATTTCGTCATTTTTAAAAATGATCAAAAAATGGTTAAAATGTGAGACATGTTTTCGTCAATTTAAATCGTCAATTTGACGAAATTTTTACCATCAAATTGACCTCAATTTGACATCAATTTGATGATTCATTTCTTATTGGGTAATCAAAAACAAACAAAAAAGTATTATTTTATCAATAATACTATTATCAAAATAATAGTATTAAATATCAAATAAATGCAAATAGTCTATTAAATACCAATGTGAAAGAAAAAGAAAAAAATTAGGAAGACAATGAGGATAGACAAAAAAATAACTCTACAAGTTTCTTTTCTTAATTTCGTAATGATGAGCGAAGAACGAGCAATGACCTCTTGTTTTCCAAGAAAGTAAAAACTTTTTTGTAATGAATTTATCGTATTTTTTCTTTTTTTTAAAGCTTACCAAAGAAATAAGAAATCCCAAGTGTAATCATAGCCCAAAGAGGATCAAAATAGACGGAACCAAAAGCAAAAGGTGTTGCCACTAATTGGCTTATCGCCAAAACTGCCACTCTTGATTTAATACCCATTTTTGCTACAAATTTATCACTGACAACACCACCGACCACAACACCGATACTTCCAATAACAATTGTCACAGCAAATAACCACCAGCCAAGATCGTAATCCGGAAAATATTCTCTATAATATAAATCGCAATTATATGCAAAACACATGCCACCTGAAAAAGAAAATAGAAATGAAATAATTTTTAAATTCACAAATTTTTGTTGCTAAATTTTCAAAATTTTCACTTTTTCCCTGACCTTAAAGAATATTCTGATTCATTCTCAAAAGGATTAAATACTAAGAAAAATGTTCTAATACATTTATTTAAGAATTTTTTTAATTGTAAAACTATTCGAAAACATTTAATCATTATTATTTTTGTAAAGGAATCAAAATTTTCAAAACATTCAAATGCAAATTTATTCATGTTTTCTAATAATTAAAGATGACCGAATCATTATTTTATATTACAAAAATATTACTAAGTACCCACATAGCACAATAATTTTCTGCAAATTTGCGGCAAGTTTTCAAAGCCAAATTTGATAACTTGCCTGGCAAATTTGCAGCAAACTTGCGGTAAATACCAAAATGTCCGTTTGGTGGCAAGTTTGCAGAGCAAATTTGCAGAAAACTTGCGTGGCAAACTTGCAGATAATTTTGTAGTAAACTTGAGGAAAATTTGCAGCAAACTTTCAAAAAACCTAAAAATTTCAAAAAAAATCTTTTTGTATTCAAAATGTAAGTATTTTGATAAACGTTGCCTTCCCTACAGGGAAGGTGACATAAATGTAGTGCGCAGCTCTAGATGTCATAGAAAACTACTGCGCATGCATTTAACATTTACTTTGCCATGCAAATTTTCTGCAAATTTGCTCTGCAAACTTGCCACCAAACGGACATTTTGGTATTTACCGCAAGTTTGCTGCAAATTTTCCAGGCAAGTTTTCGAATTTGGCTTTGAAAACTTGCCGCAAATTTGCAGATAGATTGTGCTATGTGGGTAATTACTACGTAATTTCTTCAAAATTATTTTCAAAATCATTTCAATTTTCAAATTTATATTTGTTTACAATTCAATTTTACGAAATTTCAATTATTCGGAGGAAATTCTTCAATGAAATATATATTAGAAAATAAAAACTTCAAATAATTTCAAAAAAATTAATTCTACAGAATATTGTTTGCACTGAGAAAACTGGATAGTCAAACTTAGAGGGTTAGGTTTTGAGTGTAAAGCCTGATTCTCTGGATAGTTAACTTTTCCCTCCGAGTGAGTCAAATTAATCATCGGAGTGTCTATTTATCCCTCCGAGATTGTTACGAAAAACTTAACCTCAAATATAGTCTGTTTGTCCCTCCACATAGTTAGTTGAATACTTCAGTTTTCTCCGTGTGATAACAATTTTAATTAAAAACCTTTTTAAAATTCAACTATTTCTAAAAATTCAAGCCGTAATGCTTTTAATATTCAATTATTATCTAAAATTGTAACTAGGATTCATTTTTAAATCAATTTTTATTAGAAAATTCCACGAGAAGTAAATTATTTAGTCAATGTTTCTTAAAATTGAATTCCCATAAAGAATTTTAACAACAAATATTTAAATAAAATTTTTAGGAATAATTGCCTTTTTGCGAAGAATTTAATAATTTCTGAATATTTATAAATTCTTGCCAAAAATTTTATTAAAATTTTTAAAAATAAATCATTTTCTACAAACAATATATTGTTTTTTATGAAAATAATTGAATTTCTGCGAATAATTGTATTAAGGGGGAGTGACACCTTTGAGGTGCCTTTTAAACCTGTTTTTCATGAATTTTTTTAAGACACAGGAATAAAGTAAACAAAATTTGGTTTCGAGGACTTTATTTATTAACTTTTTAAGTTTACGAAAATATATTTATACTTAAAAAAAGTTTCAATTTGTTGCCTACAGAGGACGCCAAAGTTGGTCGCGTTTCTATGCAGGGTAAATCGGTGGGCAATATTCTGGTTAGACCGTTTAATCAAAAACCAAAATTCAAAGTTTTTCTGAATATGCGATAGATTTAGCTTTCGAGTACGTAGGATATTTTAAAAATATTAATTTTTGTGTATTTGGCAGCTGTTTGATGAAAAAAGTCGATTTTTAGAGCGAAATTTTTTGAAAATATTTATTGCCAAAAAAAACAAACAAACCAAAAAAAATCCGCTACGTACTCGAAAGCATTAGTAAATGACGAACAAAAAAAAACTTTGGCCGAAGTCAATCCGATCAAAACTGTTCTGGTTAGACTGCCCACCGTTTTGAAAAATGTCATTTCGAGAAAAACGCATTTAAACCATAGAGTTATTAGAATAGAGTGCGCGAGTTATACCTTTTACCGTGAGAGGCATTCTTAGGCGCATAGAAAGAGACAAAAGCATGAAAGTAGACCCCTTTTCTTACCTTGTTTATTGGCGCATGTGCAAGAATGAAAGTTTTTGGTTAGGTTTTTGTCTAAAAGATCGCATGAAAAATTGTTTTAAATATTATAAATGTTTTATTTTAATTTTAAATTTATTTTAAATTATTTATTTGTCATGTAAATAAAAGAAAAATATAATTGCAAGCAAGCAACAGTTGTTTCGATGCATCAGCTGTTTCACTATCGCGCATGCGTTATTAGAGAAAGAAAGGAAAGGGGTCTTCTTTTCGTATGGCTGTCTCCGTCTATGCGCCTAAGAAACATTTTGGTCGCTTGCGCACTCTATTCTAATAACTCTATGATTTAAACTTATGTAATGTGAAAACATGAAAAATGAAACTACTGTTAATCTACGATGTCTGCACCATATAAGTGACTTTCTACATTAATATTTCCTTCATTTACATCCTTTAGAGCAATTTGAAGCTGTCTTCAGTATTCTTGATCTGCTACGATAAAAGAAAAAATACCCAGTAAAAAAAATTCGATACACGGACCGCGGAGTTCGTATACGAGCTCGGTAGCTCGTATGAGAAATATAAGAAATCTCTCATACGAGCCTTTTCCGTAATGAGAAGTGTATAGATGCTTGTATACGAGGTGACTTTTAAAGCATTTTTCTTAATATAACACTAATTTAAAGTACACGGAAAAAATAAGTTCAGCAGATTTTACGAAACTAATTTCGCACTAGCGGATATTTAAGATGCCTAGACGAAGTTTTTCAAAAACCCAGAAACTTTCACTACTTTAAGCAGAACAATTGTCGAGAAACTGCAACCAGTGTTGTAATTTATAAAACAAGCTTGAATGTAGAAATGTTTCGTATTTTCTGGTGAACATTTTATCAGAAAATGGTAAAAATGTTTCGTGCAATCTAAAAACGCGTGGTTTGAGTTTCCACTTCGCTGTCTATCGTGAATTCTCGAACAAAGTTTCGTAAAATTCTATACGGGGTGTACCAAAAGTCGCGTTATAAATAGATATGTTGAAGCTTGTCTCGTCGCGTCGGTATTAACTTGTCTGCTGTATATAGATATAATATGTGGAAGGAAAAAGAGAACTGCTTTACCTGCCGGTAACATTTGGATAATTGTTTTCTTTTACGTATTTCACATTTCATTGTTCCAAATTCGTAACATTTTTTATGTGCTTTTGTAATCCAAACTTTTAATTATTATTAATTTCTTTTAATTTACAGTCCAATAAATTTTATAGTTTATCATACTATTTACCGATGACAATATATATATTAATTTCTCAAGTTTTAACTGTTATTACTTCAAATTTTAGACAATTTAATATAAACATTTTTTGAGTTTGAATTTAATTTTGAAAATTTTTTGTCAATTTATTTATAATTTAAAATTAAGAATAAAATTATTTTCTAAAAATTGAAAAATTTTATAGAGATTTTATAACTAATTATAATCAAAAAATGTTATTTTAAAAACCATAAAATATTTTGTATAACTTTTAAAAAAATGATTTTTTTTAAAAATTAATATTCAGTATATTGACATTTCTCACAAGCGCAGTTTTAATCTCCTCAGTTAGTATATAAAGAAACTCAATTCTTTCATCTACAAGTGCGAGTTATATTGTATGTGCGTTGCGTCAGAATTCGTTTATATGTATGCGTATTTCCGTTAAGTTAGTGTCAGAATAAAATAAGCCAATCCAAGCGAACCATTGCGTTGTAGAGTGCAGTCACATGTGTCGAACCAATCATCTATCTCCTATAGAAGACGATAAAAAATGGTCTTGAGAGCTCATTGGTACATTAAGAAATTCTTTTTTCTGCTTTATTCGTTTTTTTCTCCGTGAATATTTTTTTCCGTGGCGCATGCGCTTCAGGCTAAACATTTTACAAAACTCTTGAATTAGAACGTCCAACCGATCATTTGTGAATTCCATAGAATTTTTTTTGAGTTTTCGAGAAACGCAGTCATCATATATTACTATTGATTCTGTTTTATCTTATACTAAACTCCTCTTTGTATCCGCTATTCCAAAATTAGTTTCGTAAAATGTACTAAATTAATTTTTTCCGTGTAAATGTAGATAATAGAAATGAATTTTCAAAGTAAAACAAAGCTAAATTTATAAGGGAAATGAAGTTTTAAGAAAAAAGGATAATTTTGTTCAAAGAATTTATTCACACTGAAAAAAGGTTAGAATTTGATAATTCCTTGTTACTCTAACTTACCGACATTAGATATTTCTCGGATGCGGTAAGCACGATTTTGTATTAAATTTAATTATTTTATATGAACATTTATTTAATAAATAAATAATAATATATTATTAATTAGCAATGAAGAAAAACTTATTTATTCTACCGCCAATACAAAATCGTGCTTACCGCATCCAAGAAATATCTAATGTCGGTTAGTTAGAGTAACAAGGAATTATCAAATTCTAACCTTTTTTCAGTGTGAATAAATTCTTTGAACAAAATTATCCTTTTTTTCTTAAAACTTCATTTCCCTTATAAATTTAGCTTTGTTTTACTTTGAAAATTCATTTCTATTATCTACATTTACTTTAAAATAGTGTTATATTAAGAAAAATGCTTTAAAAGTCACCTCGTATACAAGCATCTATACACTTCTCATTACGGAAAAGGCTCGTATGAGAGATTTCTCATATTTCTCATACGAGCTACCGAGCTCGTATACGAACTCCGCGGTCCGTGTATCGAATTTTTTTTACTGG